GCCTTGTCCACCAAGGAATTCGGAATAGCCCCCATGAGACTTTTGCACCTTTTTCTGTCACGGCCTTTGTGTTGGAATCCCTCAGACCAAGTCAGTTCTGCAATGCAGGACAAAAAGCTCAGCTGGATTGACTGTTGTTGACGTCTGCCCCGGGTAAGAAGGAAAGCAACCAGATGATTGTTCTGGTTTGCAGTTTCTTGCAGTAACTGTTTTCCTGCCAATATCTGTCAGTGTCTTTTATTGTGAAATGTGGGGTTCCTTTCCAGCTGTAAACTTCAGGAGTTGAAGAAGCTCTGGTTGTCAGGCTTGTGGCTTAGGAAGTACAAATCGCCGGAGAGTACAGCACTGGTCCTCTAAACTAATGAAGTAAAGATTTGTAGTTGATTAAGTATTAGGGAAATAAGCAGTCCCATTAAGGATGTGTTGGGCGGGTGGGTCTGTTCAGCTGGGTGGAGGCTTAAACAAAGACGAAAAGATTCAAAGGCAGTCTTGGCTTGAAATCCTTTGTACATCTCGATACCTTTCAGAACTCATATACTGCAAGCACTCCCTGAAAGCTCTTCTCTGAAACTTTCCACATTCTCTTTGTGTGTATATCTGTATTAGATGTTGCACATGTACACACTTACTCTGAATAGCAGTGCCAGGAGGTAGAAGAAGAAGAAGAAGAGGAGGGGGGGAGGTTAGTGCCAGGAGGTAGAAGAAGAAGAAGAAGGGAAGGGGAGGAGGAGGTGGTGGTTGTGGAGGTGGTGGTGGAGGAGGAGGTAGTGGAGGAGGGGGTGGTGGTGGTGGTGATTGGATGGAGCGGCTTACAATCTCCTTCCCCTCCCCACAACAGATACCCTGTGAGGTAGGTGGGGCTGAGAGAGCTCTTTTGAGGACTGCTCATTCAAGGACAGCTCTGACAGAACTATGGCTTTTCCAAGTTCATCCAGCAGCTGCAGGTGGAGGAGCGGGGAATCCAACCTGGTTCTCTCAGATTAGAGTCCGCACACTTAACCACTACACCAAACTGTAGGCCTTTATGCCATGTTGCCGGACCTCCAGAGGAACTGGTTGGCCACTGTGTAAGACAAGATAATGGAGTAGATGAATGTGTGATCCAGCAGGCCTCTTTTTATGGACTTTCTCTAGCTGGAATGAATTTGGGAGCCGCCTTTCCAACTCAGTTGTCTCCTAACGTCTCTCTGATCAGCGATGCTGGGGAAAGTTAGGTCCAAAGTGCTGGATAGCTGCTGCAGGCCCATATCTAAGTATGAGTCTGTGTGAAGTAGAGGCTGGGGAGCAGGGAGGTCACTAAAGGCACTAAAGAGGAGCTAACCTCCCCGCTGTTCTGACTCCTGTTGTTACAGGTGGGTCCACTTCAAAGATGTGGGTCCCCTGCTTTAGTCTTTGATCTCTCCGTAACACGGAATCCTCTCATTCCCTCATCCCACTCTTTGAGCAAAACTCAAAGTCTTTGTATGTCTCTAGTGTATCCCAGTGTTACATCCCATCTCCACATGATTGGAGGTAGATGAAGGGACTGAGAAGAACCTATTGCAGAAGCGTAGACAGCCTTTGACAGATTTGAGTCAGCATCTCATGTGTTGTCGAAGCTAGGCAAGTGAAATTTGCGAGAACCTTTGGCTTTGTATATAAATACGTACACATTTTAAATCTGGGAAGGCGCACGCTGTGCCACCAGAGAGGGGCATGTTCACATACCGTTCTGGAAGGAGTCAGTCAAATGTGGAAAGAAGTGTGTGACAGTTTCTGCAGGAAGTGTGAGGTGGCTTGCTGGTCTTGGTTTGTTTTTATTTGATAGGTTGAAGAACTTAAATGGATGGTGCTTTTTGCTAGGGATGCAATCAGGGTTTGCCAGTCTCTAGAAGAAGAAGAAGAAGAAGAAGAAGAAGAAGAAGAAGAAGAAGAAGAAGAAGAAGAAGAAGAAGAAGAAGAAGAAGAAGAAGAAGAAGAAGAAGAAGAAGAAGAAGAAGAAGAAGAAGAAGAAGAAGAAGAAGAAGAAGAAGAAGAAGAAGAAGAAGAAGAAGAAGAGGAGGAGGTTGGATTTATACCCCGCCCTTCACTACCCACAGGTGTCTCAGAGCGGCTTACAAACTCCTTTCCCTTCCCCTCCCCACAACAGACACCCTGTGAGGTAGGTGGGGCTGAGAGAGCTCTTGACAGAAACTGCTCTTTTTCAGGAACAGCTCTTATCAGAACTACAGCTTGCCCAAAGTCATCCAGCCAGGTGCAAGTGGAGGAGTGGGGAATCAAACCCGGTTCTCCCAGATTAGAGTCCGCGCACTTAACCACGACACCAAACTGGCTCCCTCTAAAGTGATGTTGCTCATCATCAGTAGTAATTGTCGGGGTATTATCCAGTAGGTGCCTGTAATAGTTGACACAGTGATGCAAATTATGGTAACTGCCTAGTGGGTGAGCAAAACAAAAAATCAACAAATGCTCCAGCTTGGGAATGTTTCTGTCTGTTGTTTTTAAAAAATGTGATATTCCTGCATCCGGCGGTGCTACCTGTGGGTGAGGCACCGAGGCCCATCATGACAGCTTAGGAACAATCATGCATTTTGCAGGAAGTTTGGGAAGACCTTGGAAATTGATTTTAAAAAACAAAAACCTCTGGGTTAGCTCTAAAGGTGCTCTTCATTGAGTGGAAGGCGTGAGAAGATTCTGTTTTGTCCTCAGAGTTCTGTTCACGATCCAGCCCTTCTCTGTCCCTCTCTCAAGTTTTATGTTTGAGATGCTGTAACCTGGCTCCATTGGTGGGGTGTGTGTGTGCACATGCCTTCATAGAGCATTGCTAATTACCATGGCTTAAGAGTTGTTTGGATTAAAGATATGTTTTTTCCACTGCTAATTTCCTTTTATTTCTCTATATCTTCCCCAGCTGGTCATCGGACCTGATCACGTACCAGCAATTTTGACCCCTCAAACTCTCTTCGTTCCATTGCTCTTCATATTAATATATTAGCAATTTTTAATTGTTGTGGACATGTTTTGTGTTGCATCAAGCTCCCCTGCCAGAAACAGCTTCAAATTGGACCCTGTCATTCAATAACTATAATTATTGGCACAGTTTCAGTATAAGTACACACAGAGGTGCAATGGATTGCTTTACACAGGGTAGTAAAAAGTTGTTAGTTGCAGATTTAGGATCATGGGCCAGACACAACCCTGAGGCTAGAAGTCTCTTAAAAGAAGCACATAATGCAGCTAAATGAAATCAGCTCAAATGTATAACTATGTCTGGCACAACATATGGTCCTTGAGCTGTACACAGCATATCAAACATGTACTGAAACATGAAGGGCTAATGCCTTCTTGTATAAAGTATTAGCCTGAGCTAATATTAGCCTGAGCTAGGGTATCTTAATACTCAATGTATCCAGAACGCTTCCTTCTGTTCCTAATTGCTTTTTCCCTAGTATTAGAACTTCTAGGAGAGGCAATTGGCTTCCCTTCCTCCTAGTCATAATCTTCTGTGTGCACACATTTTACATTTGTATAGTTCTTTGAGTATCATTTATGGCAGGGTTGCACGGTACAAAATCGGATAAATGATTGGGACCGTGTTTTATACTGCTGTATATAGCTTATTGTAAGTAGTATCCTATTACATAATTTCTGTACTGCTTAATGTATCATTGCTAATGCTTGTGCTATGCTTCGGTTCCCTCTGGTGGTTCCGGACTTCTTAAAATCCTAATGCATTGGTTATTGGATGTCCCATTTTGTTGATTATGCTGACTCACTCAGAAGGATACGTTTAACAAATCAGGAACAAATTAACATTAGTGATGCAGACATGTATATTAGTGTGCATAACAAAGTCTGAGTCCAGTGGCACCTTTAAGACCACAAAAGTTTTACTCCGGATATAAGCTTTCCTGTGCACACACACGTCTTCAAGAAGTGTGTGTGCACATGGAAGCTTACACCCAGAATAAAACTTTGTTGGTCTTGTGCCACTGGAGTCAAACTTCGTTCTGCTGTTTCAGACCAGCATGGCTACCCACCTGAATTAGTGTGCACAGTAAGACGAGAGGTTTTCCTTACCTGTGGTGTGAGAAAATACTTGGATGTGGATGTGGTAAGGCTTTGTCTAAATCCATTTAGGAATAAGAGAAGCTGTGTTCTGCCATCATTCACAACTAACTTTGGTGACTGACATGAACATGGGTTATTGCCATGTCTATGTACTTCTGTCAGGTGTGGAGAATGACTGAGGGCTTTCTGGTTTCATCAAAGAAGTCCTTAATTTATGGAGCAATCCAGATGTGCTTATCTGGGCTGATTGGCATCCCCCTACCCACCCATACCACCAATTGGGATTCTAAATCAAACATCAGTCCCTGTTTACAATTCCAGTTTGCTGTGAGGAAACCACCCCCCTTTTTTATCTAGAGAAATCCCGAATGCAGTTGTCTGAATACAGCTGGAACTTCTGAAGCTCTAGCTTGGATATTTCCTAGAGCTACTTGTGCATAGTAACGCCATTTTTTTTTAACTCTTGTCTTTGTTTTTTTGCCTATGCCTCAGGAGCAGTGTGGCAGCAGACGTCATACTAATAACTTCTCTTGTCTTAACACTGTAATTTCTCCAGTTGTACCACCACCCCCTTTTCTTTTTCCTGCACCTCAACTTGGGAATGTTTATCCACTAAGCAACTTTAAAGTCCCTTCCTCATCTTATTTCAAGGTTCCAGGTCTGTTCTACTATATTAGCTGCCACCATGTCAAGAAACTCCAATCTCACAGGTCTGGACTTAGACTTGCAAAAGGTCGTTGAACTACACTCAAGCCTGGGGGTAGTTTTGGGCTGATAGGTCCCATTGCCCCTTTCGTTCAAGTCTGTCTAAACCCCTTTGGTTAGATCATAATGAGTGGTTACATTTCAAAATCCCTGTTGCCCAAATCTGCATGGTTGTGTTGGTTATAAAAAGGTGATCTGATGATGACGGGGAAATGCTAAAGATGCTTTTTCCCCCTCTTTTGCAGAACGGTTCGTGTATGGCTGAAGAGAGACAATGGTCAGTATTGGCCTAGCATATATCATACAATGCCATGTAAGTATTTTGGGATGCTTAGAATGATTTCATGCAAGCTTGGGGGGATCCTATTAGAAACTGAAGGGGGTGGCATTGAAAAATCCTAGCTCCCTCCCCAGATTCCCCCCCCCCAAGTTTTCTAAACTCTCCAAGGGTTGAGCAGCTTCATCTCTCTTCCTTTTTTCCTTTAACTGACAGTTGTTCTCAACATTCCCTCTCTTCTGGAGCATATTTAGTACTCATCAAACTGGATATTTAGGATTTTTCTCTGCATCTAGAGGCCCCCAGCTAGGTAGTTACCACTGTCTTATCTGTGGGTGGTTCAGTTTTGGGCCTTTTTATTATTCAAATGGGCTGGCCAGTTTAATATTAGATATAATGATGAGCTCCCCACCCCCTCCGAAGTCTTTGCTGCCCCTTTTTGCAGTTATCTGTTGGGAGCTCAGAGCTTAGCATACTAAGAGAAGCCAGTATGCTTGTTGTGAGCTGGCTTCTTGTAAAGTGCTTTCAGTGCCCATTAGCTGGACCCAGGGAATTGCCTCGGGCACCAAAACAAGCCCTGTCATCTACCTGCAGCAGCTGGCAACGCCGGAAGGCTCTCCTGGTCCCAGTAGGTTGCCTGCAATGATGTTGATCCTTCCCTCCGTTGGGGGTGGGGGGGCAGGGGGAGGGTGACAGTACACTCACTGGCATAAGGTGCCAAAAATCCTTGGGCTGGCCTTGAATGCTTCTGACCAAGATTCACGAGGGGAACACTGAACCGTGGCAGGGCTGGAACGGGGAGGGGCTCCCCCAGGTCTTAAAATAGTTTCTTTCCTTACCATGGCTTATTTTTTGTGGGAGAGTCCAAGTGGTGCTTAACTTGGCAGTGGCAAGTTAAGGTAAAAGAGTCTTTGACAGAGTCATAAATTGTTAAATAGATGTTGAGCAGGAACTTTACTCCCATGGTCAGGCACTCAGTAATTTAAAAGCAGAAAGACTGTAGGGAGGTAGAAAATGGATATGTAGTTCTAGAATCCAAGCCTATGATTTTGTGCTCTGGCTAGGTTTTTTAATGCTGGGTTTTTATTGTTGTTTTTATTGTTTACTTTTATTGTTTTATTCCTCTGTTTCATTTTGTAAGCCACTTCAGGCAGGTTCCCGAGGTACCCTAGAGACTCAAGAGTACACATTATATATATACATATATAAATAAATCCAGGAGCCTAACTGAATTTCAGGTCAGGGAAAACAGCACGATGGAAGGTCTAAGCCCCCTGTCTCCACACACGGTGGTCTCAGTCCAAATCAGGCCCCTGCATGGGTAGGAAGCACAAAACCTCAGAACACACTTCTGCCCCTAAAATGGGAACGTCCCCAGAAAATATAACATGTAGTAAGGCTTTGAAGACTGAACAACAACAACAACAAAAGTTAGACTTTGAGTAAGAAATGCTAATTGAGCCACATTCGCACTTCAAATTTGATTTTTCTTGGCATGTGGCAAGAAAAACAGGTCTTGGAATTTAGATATTGTGGGTAACTTCAGAGAATATCCAGTTTTGTTTGTTTGTGTGTAGGGGTTTTTTTTTAAGCTTTATGTGAGGAAATTGTAGAACTGGTTGTATGCCGGGGAACAGGTGTACCATTTGTTAACCACCTCCTAAAATATAGTCTCTGTATTCTACTTTGATGGAAAACCTGAGTAGGAGGAGGAGGGCAGAAAAACTGCTAAGCAGTCTGCTATCTCAACCTGTTCAGAAGAAGAGAATACATGTGTGATCTGGACCCTGGTTCATATTACCTCCCACATTGAAAAGTATTACACAGTTGTCACGTGTTCTTCCACCCACTTATATTCGGGTTGAAGGTTATGTATCAAAGGCTACCTATTGCGTATCACAAGAACATCTTTTGACTGAGTCAACCTGATCCATGTATTGGAAAGTACTAGCTTTTGTTAGGTTCCCATGATGTGTATTTAGGCCAAAATACACTCTTGCGTGAACAGTCTTGGCAGTGCCTTCCCTTCGATGCAGGGCTGTGAGCTTTAGTTAGTATACTATTTAAGACAATTAAAGCTTGAGCTTTAGAGTAATCAGCGGGGCATTTTTAATTGGTGGGATGAGACTGAGGGTACATTTCTGGATGTCTGTGCATACTGCTGTGGTGGTTTGATGAGAAAACAAAGATGGTGAGTAGGTTGTATTCAAATGTAGCAGATCATAGTTAGCTTCAGAGTACCCCCTCCAATAGCTTTCCTTTTAAAGAAGACAATTGAAACCACTCCGCTGAAATCCATGTCAGTACATCATTCAAGTACATCTTGCATAGCGTTGATGGAATTTAACATTTGTTCACATTTTAAAATGATTTTTTTGATGTAGGATGTTAGTCTACTCCGGGATATTCTGTGCTTGCGATTCCCTAACACATTAATGCTAGTCCTGCCTCCTGACAGTAAGAGGTAACTCTTTGTCACCTTTTGAGTGACTCTTTTCAAACTAAGCTTTTAAAAAATGTCCAGAGGTTTTGGTAAGAATATGTTTGTAGTTAAATAGAATAAATGTAAAGTCAGATGACGCCCTTCCCTTACTTGCAAGACTTAATCGTAAGCCGTTTTTGTCTATTCTTCTGTATTGCTGCATATGATGACATGTGAATTGGCCCTTAGAAATTTCGAACTTCAGATTTCAGAAGCAAATGCCAGTTAACAGAAACCTGAGCTTGCTCTCAGAGCAGTTGGGCAGAAGCCGTTGCCTGAGGAGGCTGGAAACTCTGCCTTAAACACCAAAACTGGTATTTGGCCCTCATGATCAATAAGTCAATCCTAAAGTAGGGCTGCACTGTGTTCCACAAGCAACACGTCCCAGATTCCAGCAGGTCACCCTATGTAGCCCAAGGGCGCCTCTGCCTTACTCACAGGTCGCCCCAATAGCGGGGCACCCCTCTTCTGACCTGAGCCAGAGACCCACAAACTCAGGCCAAAGAGGACGCTCTTGACCTGTGCCACAGAGCTAGCCAGAGCTCTGCAAAAGGGTTTCAGTTTCAGGTTGCACAAGGCAGCCCTCGAGGCAATTTCCAATCTCCCCCTCCACCTGGCAGAGGTATGCTTATGGAATAACAATGGGTTCCTCCAGGTAAAGTATCTGCATTTTCTAAGCCATTCAGAAAACATCTGGCGAACCTTTCTCCGTCTCCATGCACCCACGTGATCCTCTTTGTGTGACACCCATGTCCGTGTGGAAACCCTTTGTCTCCATACCTGTCCTTCCTGCCTACTCCCTCAGGATACCGAGATAAATGGATCAAACATTAAGATTATTAACAATCCTTCCTGACACCCATCAGGGACCCATTTCCCCCTTTTGTCTAAGCCTGGGAACCCATTCAACCTACTTTGGTAGGACCATCAATGATTGTTAGACCCATCAATTTCTGGCCCGGGAGACCGCCCCTTGAATTCCTATAAAAATAGAGAGCATGCCCTGCCTCGGTGTGCACTCTGAGGGCGCCTATACTTGCATACACCCCCGTTGGGCATCCTTCTCGGTAGCATGAAATGCTGGCCATTTGCTCTATTCTCTTCACAAACTTCTGCACATCTGGACAGGTAGTATAATCCCTATAACTGCTCCTAAACGTCGCTATCATCACCCCTTTATTTCTTAATTCTTGATTACGTACTTACCTTAGTTTTGATTGCTTTAGTGTGATTGTAATCAGGGAAGTTCTTTAATAAAACTGTTAAAACACTCTCTAAATCTGGAGTCTTCCTACCGAACTGGACCTTGGTATATATAGGTGTGTGAATCCTTGTACTCTTCTGGTCTTCTCTCTCTCATAGCTATTTCCCCCCAGCATTGAGAGAGGCCACTTGTGGTAACACCTACTAGTTGCTCCGTGCACGGTCTGCAACATGTAAAATGGGCTGAAAGATCGAGGAGGGAGGTGTGTCGGTTGTGAGACCTGCTGCCGCAAGAAACGACACACTTCTTAACAAGTAATTGAATTGTGGAATTTGCTGCCAGTGGACGTAGAGATGGTCATGAACACAGATGGCTTTAAAAGGACATTAGACGCATTAATGGAGGATCAGTCCTGCAGTGGCTGCTGTCCATGGTGACTAAAGGGAACCTCCAGAGGCAGTAGACCCCTGAATATCTGCACTGGGATGCAGCATCAGGGAAAGGTCTTGGTCTCTCTACCCTGTTTGTTGATTCTCCAAGGCAACTTTTAGGGCTTCTTTGTGAAACTGGTTGCTGGACTCAATGGACCACTGGTCTGATCCAACCCGGGCTCTTCTTACATTCAGTTACTCTTATGAGAGACAGTAAACTGAAGAGACCTAACATGGTGGAGGCACAGGTGATTCAAATGGAAAATGTGTAGGCTCCTGAATGTGGGAGGCTGAACGTAAGAAACTGAAGACCTTTCTGTGGAGTTCAGATGTGCAGGTGGTTTTGAGTATAGAAGTGAGTAATACAGTGTGTGGAACAATGGCATGTAATGGTGGAAGGAATCAAGATACCTTGAGTAAGTTAATACCTCATTCATTTTTCAAGGTTGGAAATTATACATTTCTCAGTTTAAGTGGCAAGTCTGCAAAAATACCTTAGAAGCGGCAACTCTCTGGAGCTTCTCACAGACTGTGCTGATCTTGGTGTGTTGCCAGAGTGTCTTGCAATTCTCGTTAATCCAGTCCCGTCACCCACCATGGGGTGATTAAAAAAAAAAGATTAACCTCATTCCTACAGCGCTTCTAACATCTAAATGCTACACCATGTATAGAAATAACTTAAAGTTCCAATAATCCAGTAATTGCTGTAAAATGAAAACCTTCAAAAGCAAAAATACGGGGAAACAGTTCCCTCTTCAGTATAGCTGCATCCTGAAAGTGTTCTTTAACTGAAATCTGAGGATGTTGAATTTCTTTGTGGCTTTTAGAAAGATGGTGCATTGCACATACATAACAGGCTTTAAGAGCATGGGATCCACATCCAAATATATTGTCCCAAATTGGTAGCTGCACTGTCTGG